GAGACACAGTGGTGACTGAGATAGAGAAGATCTTTGCCCCCATAGATTCCCCAGTGACAGAACAGAAAACAACTTGAGGCCAGCCTGGGTTCCATAGTGAGTTCAAGTCTAGCCTAAACTACATAGTGAGACCTTGTCTCAAATAAAATAAAAATGTTAAAAAGAATAGAAAATAAATGTTTCAATAAACAAAAGTTATTACACAGAAAGTATAGGCAGAAAGTAAGAGGAGAGGAATCGATAGACTGGAGTGATTTGGTGAGGGCAGAAATGGACCAGGAGGCCTCTCTACAAAGGTGATGAGTAAGCTGATGAGGAGCCAGCCTCTGCAGGAACGAAGGGGGCTGTTCCAGGCCCTCACACAGCCCATGCAAAGGTCCTGCGTCAGGAACAAGTGTGGCTGGGCCCCTCAGGGCACCAGGAGTGTGGTGAATACACAGATGATGGTTTGAGACTCAGTGAGAAACAGCCAGGCCAGATGGCCTGAGCCTGCAAGCAGAGGGGAGAAGCCCAAGTTTGATTCCAACTGTGCCAGGAGGCCTCTGAAGGGTTTTTCAGAGGAGAATGACAGGATCTGACAGGTTCTGAGCTGTCCCACAGGCTGCGCATGGGGAATGGACTGCAGGGGGAGGAGCCCACAGAGAAGGCTGGTGTGGTTGTCTAGACAAGAAGTAACTGTCACCTGCTCTTGGCAGTGACACTGGAGAGATGGATGGGTGAGGATATATTCTGGTAGAAAGCAAATGTACATCCCTCCCCCCGACTCTGGATTCCTTGCCTTGAGAGAGTATGCAGTTTTCCGTGGGTGGTACTAGTGCCATTTATGGTGATATTAACTTCTCTCAACTTCCTTCCAAACTGAGTGGGATGTGGGGTATGGTGGGCTTCCTGGAGGAGATTCCAAGAGAGGGTGCTTCGGCGTGAGGAGGAGCCCGAGGTATGCTCCCCCCTCCTATGTGCCCATCCCTCTACAGTTTGTAAATTATTTTCTAATCCATCCCTTAATTTAATGCTCACAACAAGTAAGTAAATCAGGTTCAGAGAAGCAGAGAGACCACCCAGGGAAACAGACAGTCCAGGGCAGGGCTGGGTCACAAACCGGTACTCCAGAATGTTTCCTTTCTCATCTTCACCTAACAACCATGTTGCAGGCAGGTTGGCAAGTGCCAGCCCTGTCTTCAAGAAGGGAAAACCGAGGCCAGAAAATGAGGTTGCATGTTCTGGGAAGGACTGTTTTAAGACTTTTGTGGGCTCTACATCTATCAAGCATATTAAAATGAAGCCACATCCAATCAAATGTAAATTATACATAACCAGATAAAAGCCAAATTGCAGTTGACTGGCTGACATCATGTTCTGTTTTACAGGCATTTAATTAAACATTTATTAATTTTGATTCTGCAGTTTTTCCTTGTGTTTTGGAGCCAAGTCTTTTTTTTTTTTTTTTTTTTTCAGACTTCAAATATTCTTCTTGGTCCACAAACATCTCACAGGCCCTTGGCCCTGGGCATGTAATGCTGGCTGGAAACAATGCCAGTTTGGGTCCTGCTGCCAAAAGGGCCAAGTGAAGCAGAAGCCAGGCCTTTCATCCCCAGGCTGCAGTGAGGCCTGTGTGCTCTCTGCTGATCCTGTGTGCCTGGCACTCAGGTCTTGCTCTTACCTCTCCTGTCCCTGTTCCTGCCCGTAGCAGCCCTGGGCTATGTGAGCCCTTTGTCTGCCATGAGCTGGGAGCTGGCTGAGGAGAGGGCAGGAGTGGGTGGGAGGTGGGCAGTTGGCCGTCAGGTGGTGATGGATGCTGGCCTGGAGCCGGGGCCTCCCTCATGCTGACCCGGCCCGGAAACAGATGGTCTTCGAGCCTGAGAGAAACTTCCAGGGTGTCACCCTCCCCCAACTCCCCAGGCCCCTTCACATTGGACCAGCTGGTCTCTCTCTTTCCTGTTTAAAGCCAGAGCCATGGGAGTAGGGGGTGTGAGAGTAGGCTGGGAAGGCAGGAGAGGTGGAGGTCAGGGAAGATGGCTCTGTTCTAAGCCCCTCGAGGCCTTGGGGCCATTTTAGCCTCTCTCTTATCCCCCACTTTTAGCCCTCCAGTTGTGCTTTCTGCCCCTCCTATGTCCCCTGCTCAGCCCTGTCATTGTAGGCCTGGACCAAACCCCAGCTTCTCCTGGCTTCCCTCCAAGCCAGTCTCCAGAGCCAGCTTTTAGAGCTACTGAGCTGATAGCATCACCTCTGATTCTGGGATGGAATTCAGATTTAGAATAAAATCCGAACTCTGCAGTCCAGCTTTTTTTAATGATGCAGAGATCAAACCCAGGGCCTGGTGCATGCTAAGGAAGTGTTCTGCTGCTTAGCTACACTGCTAGCTCCTCCACGTCCAGGATGTGTTACCTTTACAGTTCTAGTATTTTATGGCTTTGCCTATTAAAACCCTCCTTCCAGGCCTAGCAAGCCACTGGCATTGCCCTGAACTGTCACAGGGTTTCGTGCCTGTACCTTTATATTAACTGGGTCTTCCATCTGGAATGATCTTCCATTTCTTGGTGTCTACAAATGCTAAACTTGTTTTAAAGCTGAGATCAAATCTTTCTTCCTCCAGACTTCCCTCACTTCTCCCCAACCTACCCACCTCTGATTTCCAAAGCATTTTGTAGTGTCTATTTCGCCTCTTACCCGTCTCCTCTCGCCCTCCAATGAACCTGTGAGGAATGCGAGGGCACAAAACAGGTGGTTAAAATACATTTGCTGTTGTATGAATAGCAAAGGATGATTCTGGCTGCAGAAATCATTATGTGGGCAGTGGAAGGGGGCCCAGGGAATTGAAGATAAAGAGACACAAATTTCTTTTCATCAGAAGAGCAAAATCCAGGCCTGGAGCCATTCAGGAGCTGAAGGCCTCACCTCAGGAAGGAGGGAAGTGTCCAAGCAATGAGTGTGAATGAACAGGCTGGAAAGGACTGAAGGAATCCCAGTGTTGGAAGGGACAGTTGAGCTGAGGGGCCCCTGCACCTCCCAAATCAGCTCCTGAGGGAACAGCGCCGTTCTCATCCTAGCTGCTCAACATCAATTGGGGGTGGGAAGGAGGGTTCTAAAGGCGAAGTTCCTGGCCATATTTGTGGGACGTCTGTGGGTGCCAGAACGTAATCTCTGAAAGAATCTCCAAGGCTATGAAGCCTGTCCCTCTTGCTGGCCAATGGAGAAACTGAAGTCCAGAGATGACCACACTACTGTGACGAGCAGGATGCCATTTGAGGAAGCTTGGTTTTATCCGGCCCTATGGCACATCGCTCCCACCCTTGGACTTACAGTATAACTGGACACAGTTGGTCCCATGGTTCCCAAACTCCATACTGCAGATGCCAACACTTCCCATCTTAGACTGGACTCCCCAATCTTGGGCTTCCCAATTTCAGATTTGGGCAGTAAGGTCACTGAATCTTTGTTGAGATTTTCCTTCCTGGTTTCCTGGGGAAGCAATTTTTGGAAGATCATTCTATGGTTTCAGCAAATGGCCTGCTGGGTCCATGAATCAGTGTTTAGGAAGCTGGGAAAGGGGTAGGGTCTGGGCACAGCAGCCATAGTGCAGCTGCTAGGCCAGATAGGGGAAATGGGACCCAGGGATTTGTGTGCAAAGTAGCTTCTTGTCTATTCAATCCTAACAGCTACTTTGAGAGAGTCTAAGGCTCAGAGAAGGTCTTATTCAAGATTATGCAGTAAATTGCAAGGAAGTCAGGAACTGGACTCAGGAGTCAGAGTCCCTCTCCTCCTCCAGCCACTTCCCAGGATATCAGCATGCTAGTTAACTCAGCCAGCTTGTATACAATCATTCATGCATTCAGCCCACTGTGCCCGGAGCTCTTGCTGTGTGATGAGAAAGAACTCAGGGTGCTCAGTGAGCAGGCTGACTTAGTCGGTGTCCTGGAGCTCAGTTTAGGGAGATGCGGGTGTTCCAGCAATTACAACCCACTGCGATGGCCAGGTGTGGTGGTGCACACCTGTAATCCCAGCACTCAGGAGGCTGAGGCAGGAGGGTAGCTGTGAGTTCAAGGCCAGCCTGGGTGACATAGTGAGTTCAAGGCCAGCATGGACTACATAGTAAGACCCTGTCTCACAAAACAACCCACTGGGATCAAGCCTGAGGGAGGAAGACAGAAGCCTGGGGGAGGCGCCTGTCCCTAATGGAGGGTGATCAACAGCTTCCTGAAAGAAGTTTAAAGACAGAACTTTGGGAGAAAAGTAAGACTTACTCAGACTTGGGGCTTGGGTTCTGGGGGACAGGGCAGGGTATTCCAGGTAGACCAAAGAGGAGAGATAAAAGCTCAGCAGTAGCAGAAGTTGCAGAGCGCAGTGGGATCTGTGGTCTGTATAAAGTAGCTGGAGCCGCAAAACTTGTTGGCAAAGGGTCCCAAGAGGAACCAGCATAATCACAAATACCTAGAGAAATTATCTCCGTAGCCCATTGCCTCTCAGGTGAGGCCAGGCACTGAGAGAATGTCAGGGATAGGCCAAAAAGTGGGCCGCAGTGTGGCGAATGTACTGAAGAAAGCCCTTTATGATTTAAGTAAAAGGCAACGTGCTCTAGCGGTCAGAGAACCTCCTGGGTTTGAGTCCTTGTTCTGTTTCTTCCTAGCTGTGAGACCTTGAGCGAATGATAGGCCTCCCTGGGTCCTAGTTTCCTCTTCTACAAGATGGGGGTGAGACTAGGACTGAGGAAAGCTCCCGTGTCAGTAAACCCTCAAAGAACGAGGCACACTTAAGGTCGGAGATAGCTGCAGCGTCAAGGGCCTCCAGTAGAGGAAGCTAAAGAGCCGACGTAGCGCTCCCCAGCCACGGCCCGAGGCGATCCCTGCCAAGAGGCCATTTCACAGCTGCTCGTTGGGGACCCCCGCTGAGCTGACGGCCTTCCCGGGGGCTGGGGGCTTGGGTCTAGGGGCTGGGGACTGGGGCGGGTGGGAGGGAGTGGGCTGAAAGGCGCCCGAGCGCTGAGCTCCGCCTGCCTCCCGCAGGTACCTGCACGCCCTGTACCTGGGCCTGCAGAGTCGCTGGCGCGGGGAGCGATTGCGGCGTCACTTCTACTGGCGGATGCTGTTCGAGAGCGCGGACGTGAGCATGCTGCGCCTGCTAGAGACCTTCCTGCGCAGCGCGCCGCAGCTCGTGCTGCAGTTAAGCCTGCTGGTGAACAGAGGCCAGGAGCCAGACCTGCTGCCCGGTGAGCCCCTCCCTGTCCCGCCCCGCCCCTACTGCCGGCCGGGAAAGCCCTGTACCTTGCTCCCAGCCAGGGAAGCTTTGCCAACCTCAACGCTCCTGGCACCCTGTACTCTTCCCATTCCAAGCCTGATAAAACACTCATTGCCCCCATACCGCCCTAACCCCACCCCTCAGTATCCCTAGGCCACTCCCAACTACCTTCCCCCTTCCCATTGTCAGGACAGACCCCCTTTCTGCCTTTCACCCTTCAACACACTGCAGACCCACTGCGGAAGTCCACTGCCTGTTGATTCCCCAGACTCTGGACCCCAACCTGCATCTCCTGGGGACACTTCCTCAAAGATCTGCCCTCTTGCCATAAGGGCAGCTCATGACCCAGATCCCTCCTGCTCTCCCCAGACCCACCCTAACCCAGCCCACCCCATTCCCACCTTGTCTCCACAGCCCTCTCCACTTCTGCCTCCCTTGTGTCCCTGGCATGGACGCTGGCCTCCTACCAGAAAGTGCTGCGGGACTCAAGGGATGACAAGCGGCCCCTGTCCTACAAGGGTGCAGTGGCCCAGGTGCTGTGGCACCTGTTCACCATCGCAGCCCGCAGTCTGGCCTTCGCCCTCTTTGCCAGTGTCTATAAGCTCTACTTTGGCATCTTCATTGTGGCCCACTGGTGCGTCATGACCTTCTGGGTCATCCAGGGTGAGACTGACTTCTGCATGTCCAAGTGGGAGGAGATCATCTACAACATGGTGGTAGGCATCATCTACATCTTCTGCTGGTTCAACGTCAAGGAAGGGCGCAGCCGCCGCCGCATGACCCTGTACTACTGCATTGTCCTGCTGGAGAATGCTGCGCTCACTGGCTTCTGGTACTCCAACCGCAACTTCTCCACTGACTTCTACTCTCTCATTCTGGTCTGTGTGGTGGCCTCCAGCTTTGCACTGGGCATATTCTTCATGTGTGTCTACTATTGTCTCCTGCATCCCAATGGGCCCATGCTGGGTCCCCAGGTGCATGGCTGCATCTTCCCTGAGGCCTCAAGGCCCTGTGGCCCACCTGTTGATGCTGTCACAAGTCCCCCAAGGTCCCTGCCAAGGACTACAGGTACAGAGAGGGATGGGGTCTCAGTGGGGAGTGAGCGTGCAGGGACCCCCACGCCACCTGTCTTTCAGGTGCGGCCTGGCTTGCCTCCCACACCAGTGGCCCGGCCCGTTCGGACAGAGGGGCCTGTCATTCGGATTGACTTGCCTCGCAAGAAGTACCCAGCCTGGGATGCTCACTTTATTGACCGCCGACTCCGGAAGACCATTCTGGCACTGGAATACTCCTCACCTGCCACACCTCGGTTGCAGTACCGGAGCATGGGGACATCCCAGGAACTATTGGAGTATGAGACCACAGTGTAGGCCATAATCTTCCCCAAAAGGGGGACAGACACGGCTGACCCCACACCAACCAGTGTTGACCTGGAGTTTTGAGGGCTACCAGGCCAAGGAGGAGTGGATCTGTTGGTCCAAGGATAGAGTGGCCCTACCATTGGGTTCTTTTAGGGGGTGAGGGCAGCCTTTTAGGGGAAGCCTCAGTCCCAGGCCCTGTTTTCAGCCCTCTGGCCCATTCCCTAAGGTCCCTGAACCAGGGCCAAGGGAGTTGACTGGTGCTACATTCCTCACAAGCTGCCCCATTTTTACTGGGGCCTCCATACCATGCCTGATACAAGGGGCTGATGGCCTTGCTCCTGCCTGGTATTACCCACATGATACCCTGGTGGACCTAGCAGTGGGAGATCATTGTCAGATCCATGGCCTGGGCCCTTTGCTCTCCATCATGGAGTTTGGCTAACTCCATGATGCAACAGAATCTCTGAGATGGATGCAGGAGATGGCAGAAGGTGTGGAGTGAGTTGGGACATCCCATTGGACAGGGTTAGCGGTCCTGTAGGATTTTAGGCCTAGGGCTGGACAAGAGGGGACCTGAAGGAGGGCATTGAGCTGGGGAGGAGGGGCTGATGGTGTGGAGATGGACAGAAGAAGGAACCCTGAAGGCCCAGGCTGGCAGGAGCATGGCAGGGTGAGGGTCTGGGAAGAAGAATCTGCAGTCTAGAGCAGAGAGAGTAAGCAACATCAGCTCCTTGGGAAACATGCTTTGTTATGGACTGGTATGGATGAGGTTCTAGACACTTCAGGTAAATTTTTCAAGGAGCCACTCTGTTCTAGATGAGCATCAGGAACATTTCTTCTAGATGAAGGTCTTGAACACAGCAGATAAAGTGTCTAAGAAGATACTCTGTGTGGGCTGAACTACAGATGAGGTGGCAGGACATTCAACAGAGGAACTGATCTAGAGACACACTTAGCTCTAGATGAAGCTTTAGGAGATATAGCTGATAAAATGTCCTAGGGAGTAGCTGGCCTATATTCTGTTAGGAGAAGTAAAGACACAAGATCAAAGACACTGCTCCACTGTGGGGGATCCTAGTATCTGCTAAAGTTGGTGAGGAGAAAGGGGCTCCGAGAGCCCAGTACAAGTGGAACGGTCTAGGGATGGTGCTGCAATTCTAGACTTCTGGGGCCATGGGAATGGGCCATGAATCCTGGGGCTTATAGGAGCTCTAGGTTCCTGTCCATCTTGGTCCACAGTCATCTTTCTAAAAAGAAAGTTGTCCCCAGAACCAGAGCTATTTCAGTTGCCAATTGGTTCTCAGCAGGAAAAATAATAGCTCTGAGGACATGACGTGAACCCTGGCTCTCTGCCACCCTGCAGTTGCAGCTCTCCGGGCAGCATCTGGGAAGCTGACTTGTTTTATCTCAGATCTGACAACCCCCAGGATTCATGGCCCATTCCCATGGCCCAAACTTCCTGGGGTGTGCACGGGACCACACATCCAGGGCTGCTCCTCTGACCCGGGGGTTGGGGGGGGAGCAGTCCTAGATGGGTACAGAGCTGTAGGGGTGACAAAATAGGTGGTCATGTGGGTTGGAGGGATGAACTCTTGAGGCAGAAGCTAGAGCCCCTTCCCATTCTTCAAACCAGCTAAGGTGGGTTCACTAAGAGGGGATGCAGACCCTGGCTGGGGACAAGATAGGCCATGAGAACCCTACACCTCGCAGATTACCAAGTGTGCTTAACATCTCTGCTCAGCATCCCCGTCCAGCTTCCCTACAGATTACAGATGGGAAACTGAGGCCCAGAGTGACAGCTGCTCTTCCAAGGCCCTAAATAGCTGGCTCTCCCATCAAATGGTGATTTGCTGAGGTTGCAAGGAAGGGCCCACACTCAGGGTGTAAAGAGGGCAGGACTGTGCATGCGCAGACGCACACGTGCACACACACAAGCACAAGCATACGTCACACCTGTGATACAGGTAACCCCGCCCCAGGCACCACAGGAGGCTACACAGAAAGCACCATGCCAAATGGTGTGTCTCTCCTGCCACACAGAATACGTTTCCTTTGTCCTCTGCTTCTCTGATTCCTAAGGAGCCGCAGGAGCTCAAGAGTGACCGGGTGTCCTGTTCCAAGCAGGCCCACTCTGATGGGCTCATCCATGCTCCTTGTCCTCTGCCCCTGAACTGTCTCCTGAGACCCAGCTCCATGCTTGGGTACACACACGCCACAGTCTTTGTGAGATGAGCCTTGCCGATGGAGATTTCCTGATTGTGCCAGGAAATTTCACCCCCATGCAGTTTCCCTTACACTTTCCCCTATTTTCAACATCCCAATCAGAGGTGTTATCTTTCCATCCTACAGATGAAGAAACTGAGGCTCAACACAGCCCCATGAGGGTCACTTTGGCAAGTTATTTTACTCCCTGGACTCTTGGGACTGACCTATTTAGAAGTACCTTCCTGAGAGCTGGGGTCCCTTTACAGTTCTGGGAGCACCAGGAGCTGGGCACATGAGTGAGCTGGCAGTGCCAGGCACTGCTTGAGGCTCACAAGGGAATCACAGCCACAGTTTTTAAAAAAAATACAGTCCCACAAAACCTTCCCTTAGGAGCTTTGTGTGTGAGAACATTTGAATGCCAGAGAAGATCATGGTCAAAGAGCCAGAGGGGAGGCACCTGCTGCTTCTTAGCTTCAGGACAGAGTCAGTCTCCTGACCCTGGATTTCAGGACCCCCATCTTTCCTGGCCTGAGGCTCCCTCTCTGCTGGCCTGTCCCCATCTTGTACTGTGATAAGGGAGGCAGAGTGAGGAAGGGCCATCCCCTCGAACCTGTTTCCTGTTCCTTTCTGTCACACAATCTACCTCACCCCACTTGTCTTCCTGACAGAGCTGAACCCCTTGGGTTCTCCATTCCCTGTCCCCTGTCTCACCCTAGCCCAGATGCTCAGTTCTCCCCAGAATCCCTGCAATGCCCTGCTGTGAGACAGGTCTCCAGAACCATAGCCCAGAGGGACTCTTTGGATCCCCTCAGCCACCTGCCCTTCACATCCATTATAAAGGAGAAACTGAGGCCTGGAAAGGGCAGGCACTTGCCACGGTCACACAGAAAGTCAGTAGCAGAGCTGGGATTTTCCTTGGGATGAGGTGAGGTGGTCAGATATATCTTAATTTTGCCAGGAAAAGAAGAGGAGACATTCTAGTACCAAAGCACCAGGAGGCCCTGCCCTAGTACCTAATCCCAGGGGTCCTGTCCCTATTCTCAGGGCAGACGTCAGTCTTCCTACTTCCTGGAGCTCTCACCCTTGAACTGACCCCATAGGTTGCTGACTGTGGTCCCCAGCATCTCCAGGCACCAAGCATCCCTTGTCACACATCCATGCACTGACATAACATGTGCCTTGTATCAATCACCCCAGCTGAGCAGCACAGGCCTCCATCCTCCCCAGCAAGGGCTGCCCAACAATGGAGGCTTTCTCAGTCCCCTCCTCTCCTCTGCCTCATTCCTGTACCTCCCCGCAAATCTGCCTTATCCTCTGCCAGCTCCCTGCAACACCCGTGTCTTCCTGGAGCTGGGTCAGCCATAAGAGTTGGAAAAGCAGAGCACTGGCAGGTCCAGGTCTACAGGTGAGATGAGGGGGCTGGGAATGTGCAGGAAAGTACGGTTCTGGCAGCCCCAAAGCTCCTCAAAGACTGGAGTTCTGCAGGTCCTTCCTTTGGAGGCACCTGAGCATGGGCAGAAGGTTTGGGGGGGGGGGCAGGTGTGCGGCCTGTAAACTCAAATGTCTACAGGTAATGAAAGCTAAGGAAATGGAGGTGCGAGCAGGATGAGGGGGCTGGCAGACAGGGACAGTATGTGCCCCACTCTGCTTTCACTGAAGTCCACATTTTCACAAACATATTATACTGGCCAAACTAGATATTCATATCAGGGTCCCCAGTTTGAAAACTTCAGTTCAAAATGTTGAGAAGATTCTGAGGAGGCCTATAGCATCTGGAAATCTTGGGGAGAAGTGAGGGAAAGAAGCCATGGCTTCCTTTGAGACTTCACCAGTCTAACGGTATGCCCCTGCCGTCCAGCCATCTGAAAGAAGACCTCACCCCCCTCAGCTGGAAAGGAGAGAGAGAGACCAAGAAATCCATAAGGACGCTGGCTTGGGACCATCATCTGAGGGCCACGGTCTCAACCAGGCCTCTGGGCAGCTTAGAGGCTGGAGTCCTCTTTTTTTGAGGTGTGTGCTGCAGGTTAGGAGGCACCTGCATCAGGTGAGGAGGAGTCGAGGCACAAGACGCCAACAAAGTTGGACCCACTGCCCTGTGCCGTGCTGGCCCAGGGATCTGCTTCCTCCCCACCTGAGCTGGGGCCTGGGGCAGGAGAGCTGCCATGTTCCATACTGGAGTCCTTTGTGACCTCTTAGTAGAACTGAGTGAGTGCCAAACCACATGGGCAGCAGTGGGGCATGGGCCTGAGTCCTTCTTCCCTACCAAAGAAGTTTCTGAGACCCTAGGCTGAGGGGTAGAGAGGGGGACCTATATCCTGCCATCCTGGTTGGGGAGGAATGTGGCATTCCCAGGCCTTTGGTTACTGCTGGTGGGGACAAGGGGAGGAAGAAGGCTGGAGCAAGACAGAGCAGGAGAGGGAGGCCCTACCCAGCCTGGCCTGCTTGAGCTGCCGGATCCTGCCTGACACCAAACACTCTGGGGGACACAGGGAACTTCCTGTCTTTGGCTTCTTCCCCTCTAACCTCTTGACAGGAAAGCAGCCCTCTCCCCGGCAATCCTGGCTATTAGTCTATGCACAATCGCCATAAAGGCCCCTCAGGCCGGGCTGGAGGGGTGGGGGACCAGAGCCACTGCAATAATTTCACAGTGGAGGGGACCTTGGGACAAAGAAGGGGTAAAGACACCATTACATGGGGAAAAAATTACTCCTCCATCTCCCAGTCACCTAAAGCCCAGAATCTACCCAGACCTACTATAGCCTTCTCCCTCCCTTATTCCTGTTTGTCTGCATTGGACTAAACCCCCAAACACTAAGGGCCCTCAGGCAAACAACCCCTGTCCCCACCACAAGGAGCAGGAACCATTCCTGGGGTCACCACTTATTCTTTTCATACCTGATAATCCTGTGTTTTGAGAGATCTGTATTTTCTCCCTTTCT